CTTCTGGTCAATGCAAGGAAGGCCTCTTCAACCGACTCCCCCTCCAGATCAAGCGACCCGGTCTTCTTCTTCTTGCCCCCTTTGGAACTCTTATGGGACCCTTTCCTTTTGTGGCCCTTAGCACGGGAAGAAGATTGACCGGCCTCCTTAGGCTTGGATTCGATATGGGCCTGAAGAGAGTCAAACCGGTCATCCTCGAAGAGATGGGTGGCCGAAGGGGACTTCACCTTCTTATCTCGGATGAGATCGTCAAGGGAAGTGCACCGGGCAGATGAAGCCCCTTCCATCCCAGGGTTTTGAGGAGGAGAAGGAGGGTTGTTATTAGGGGACTGGCCGCCATGGAGGACTTCATCATCATCATCATCAAGGTTGACAAACCGGGTGAATTCCATGTCTGCAAACAAGAAAGGAACAAAACATTACCGGTAAGCTTTTTCAACTTAACAAAATAAAGTTGAAATCAAAAGCTCAAGGGGAAATTCATTGATTGACTATGTACAGTGACCTTTGATAATGTAAATGCGTTTTAACTCTTATTTCAAGAATAAAAATATGAAACACTTATTTTAGTATATTTTCAATGTTTTATTCCTACTTTAGTCTTTTTCTACATCAAGATATATTTCCTTTCTCTCTTCACACTTTTTATAGGCTAGCAAGTGAATGTTTTCTTTTTTATAAAAAGCTCAATTCTTTATGATATCAATAAACTAAGGTCTATCAAATGCATGGACTTTAGGACTTCGTAAAAATTTGCCTTATAATTTTACAAATGGTCCGTAAATATACAAATTTTATCGTTATTCCAAACATAAAACAAAATAATATTGAAAATTCTAAACTACAACTTCAAGTTCTTTTAGCGATCAAATACATACTCCATTCATATGCACTAACGAGTATAAGTATAATCTCTCCATATGGGAACATCTGATAAAATTGAAACGGTTTATCACACCCATGCGCAAAGGATGGCTATATGGCTTGTTAGGTAATTAGCGGTTGGTTGTTAGCTGTTTGTATTGGCTGGTTTAAACGGCTGGTAGAGTTAGTTTTTTTGACCGGCTTGTTGTGGTAGCTGTTTGTAACACCCCAATCCATAAAACTCGAGTACATGAGCCAGCAAACTGGGTTGATACTAAATTGGCATCCAAACACAGTTCATATTTAAAAACCATTTCAAACAACTATCTCAAAATATAATTTCAAACATTCATCGGAGTAAAAAGTCAATATTAGACTAATACTCAGAAACAAATGTAATATAATTTTAGAATATACTCCCTCCGTCCTAAAAAACTCCTAATTATTATTCATAGGTCAAACTAACTTTACTTTTTGAATACATTTTCATCAATCAATAATTGATAAAATACAATAAAGTACCTTGTCACTACTCATTTTGTAGAGCTTCTGATATAGTTTTTTCTTATATAATTTTATTTCTAATTCTATGCCAATTTTTACTTATATTGATTTGAAAAATAACTTCAGCCAAGATCATAAACCAAACATGAGTCTTATTCTGGGACGGAGGAAGTATAATTTATTAAAGAGTATCCCAGATCAGAACATGAAGAGAAAATGAATCGGTATATAAGCTCTTGGGTTGAATTAAGTAATCAATTAGATTCAAATTTTTAATGTTGTTCGACCCAAGTATTTTATTGTCCTATCAGTTAACCCTACCTCTTCCTAAATTTTATCATGGTATCAAATCCAGGTTTCTAAAAATTTTACAATTGATTTACAGTTGATTGGCCGATCAGCACTGAGCCGTCCGCTGCTGCTGTTTTAGCCCACCTCATTTGTTAAGGAGTCCGTCTAGAAGTTCATTCATAGCGGCCCATTTGACTTTAGCCAAGTTGTCTGTATGAAAAAATGGCATGTGGCCCACATAACTCGATTGTTCGTCTAGAAGTCCATGTCCAGTAATTCATGGTCATTTAGATGTTGGCACTTTCAGTCTTTTCATTTTCTTGAGAGAGGAAGTCTATTAGCAAGTAGTTAACCGGTTAGATTCAAATTGGCCCGATTGTCTACTTAAGGGCAGTGTTAAAGAGTATCTCACATCGAAAATGAAGAAGAAATCAATCAGTGTATAAATTTTTAAATTAAACTAAGTAATCGATTGAATTCAATTTTTTAATATGTTTCTACATAGAGTGTCTTATGGAATAGGGGTTATATTATTTAAAAGATGGTAAATTGATTGTGCATCAGTTCAATGGGATACGGGGAATCGGGGAGATTCACTATAAACCAACAATTGTTAATCAACCCATATTGTAGCGGCATGTTGCTTGGATTCGGAGAATCGCGGGGTGATGGATATGAGTATATGACTAAAACTTCATTTTCAAAACTTGGACCCAGATGTGATATATTCCGTCCGTCCCCCTAAGATGTTCTCATTTTGACTTTTGATGATTTTTAAGGAGAGTTGAAAAAAAGTGAAAGTTTACCATAATACCCTTAATGAAAATGGGTGGAGTGTATTAAATGAGGTGGGTGAGGTGTAATAAATAAAGTAAGTGGGGGTAGTTGTGGTATTTTAATTATTAAAAAATGAAATGAGAAGATCTATTGTAGACAAAGAAAAAATACTATTGGGAAGATCTATGGAGGACGGAGGGAGTATTATATATAAGGGTTGTCTCTGAGAAATTAGGAGTCTTGGACAAAACCGAGAAAATAGGTAATTGTGTCATAATGAAACAAAATATATAAATTATGCTTCATCCTTCGCTAAATGATTTACACACTTTAATATTCAAAAATCGTAAAAACTTTTATTTATTTATGTGTTTTCATTGACCATTTGATGAAGTAAAAAATTCTTGTTACGTTTTGTTTTGTAGAATTTTTTATGCGCTTTTTAAATATGTTAACTTTATTATTTAGTTATACCAATTCTTAAATAAAATGAATTAAAAACTTTAGAATTTTACTTCGTTTTGCGTAAAAAGTAAATAATTTAGGGACGAAAAACTTATTTTTTAACAATAATAAAAATTACTCTGTACAATAGTAATAAGAATAATAAAAAGTCAAATTCACAGTTTTATAAATCTATAATTACATACCTTAATAACTAGCAAAAGATTGGTAAAGTTTTTCTAGCATTCTTAAAAGCAAATGGGTTGATATTGCACTTTTGATATAATTTTTAAATATCTAAATTTTATTTTTTAATTCTACGCCAATTTTCAAATAAATTAAATTGAAAATAATTAAAATAAAACATTATGAACAATAACAGGTGATTTACGTTGAGATGGAAAGTGTAATATAAATAATTAAATAATAAATAAATATATACTCCGTATAATATATTTCCAAAAAAATATTGGGCCCCTCTACAACTAGGCCTTGTCCAAGTAGCCATTTTACACTTGGTTAGAGCCGGCCCTGTATATTACTCCGTATATAACATCCCCCTTCAATTCTTTACATCGCCCAAAACCATACAAACTCAATGTTCTACCAGAAAAAATATGTTCATAAATAGAAATAAATCAAAGAGTAAATATTTAAAATAATACTCCGTACTTTGTAATAAGGTGTTTTCCAAATTTGTTCTCAATAAATACTACTACCTCCGTCCCAGAATATTTGTCTACTTTCATTTTTACACACCATCCAATAGACTTCTTTAATCCATTTTATCTTGTAATGTGTATATTAAAAAATTATAGAAATTATATATTAATAATTTATATGTTAAGACAAATCAAACAAGATCACACATGACTATATTTAGGCTTACAAATTGAGAGAATTTGATGAGTCAAAGTGTTTAAATGAACAGTTCCAAAAGTCAAAAGTGGACGAATATAGTGGGACGGAGGAAGTAATTACTAATATGGTTCTTTCTAATAGAGATGTATTCTCTATAAGTCATATGTCAAAAATATTTATTAAATGACTAATAAATGAAGAGTATTTTTGTATTTTACATTATCTAAAATATGAATAGGTTCTCAAAATGATCCTTTCAAATTAAGTGAATGGCTGCTAGAGGAACGAACCCCGCCAAGTACGCTCGTGGACTCCATTTGGAAAAACAATTAATTGAAAATTATCCATTTAGAAAATACTTAACTATAAAGGAGCATTTCGAGAATATACTCTAGGTCTAGATGATAAAAACTACCAAATTACTTTCTATTTGATAGACATTTAATAGAAATTTTCGGTAAAAAACTATTTAGGGAATACATCTCTATTACAAAAAACTATGCTGGTAACTATTGCTTGTTTTGAACTAATTTTTTTTGAGGTATATTCTGAACTAATTTGGTATAACACCTTATTAGAAAAACAATTTGGGAATTCACTCTAAATCAAAAATTCATATAAACTTTTCATTTGTGAAATCATTAAAAGACTAAAATAGTCTCAAATAATAATAAAAAAATTAATTTAAATTCAGAAATAACAAATTTATATATTTTATGACTCTTCTATTTGTGAATTTACTACGTAGTATGTCTTACTCCCTCCGTCCCCTAGTTTTTTGTCCACTTTTAATTTGGCACATATACCAAAATGATGAGTAAAGAGACACAATTACCCGTAGGCTACGGCTAGCCCAGTATCCCACAACTACCCCTGCTCCCAATTGTTCGTCATCTCCGATTTCCACCATCTACCTGCCGCCCCAGATTTCTGTCCCACGTCCAATCTTGATAGTCTCTACCATCTTGACGGACAGATGAGAAACGATCGTAAGAAAAATTGCAGCACAGCTCATGTGCTACTCGAATTTGTGGAAGACGAAACACATTCCTCTAATTTGTGGAAGAAAAAATCCAGACACGTTGCTCGAATCTAAAAAAAAGACTGTCGAAGAACCCATTGCTCGGACCTGTGGAAGAAATCACAAAAGAAAACTGTCAAAGAACCCATTGACCGTAACATGTCATTTTACCATAAAATATCATTTTACCATATATATATATATATATATATATATATACACATATACATATATATATATATATGTATATATATATATGGGCTGGTTCATGTGAGAATGGTGCTTGGTGAAAGAAATAAGAATAAAGGAGAGTCATTCGATCAGTTGCATCCAACGGAGATCATTAAACAGAGATGAAATCACTAATATTCCATTTAAAAGGAAAGAATCAATTATAACGCACCAATTTAGGAGAAAGTTAACTATGAAGGGCATTACGGTAATACTATGTATCTTAATTAATGCATATCCAAACTTGATACCGTATGGTGTATTTAGGAGAATTTTATTATATTAAAATATAAAAGTGAAATTTACCCAAAGGAGCACCAAATCATAGTTGTTTTACCTAAATAACACCACTACTAATTGTTTCTCTCACTAGCACTAATTTTCACCCCTAATGCCTAGTAAGCCCTTCCGTAAACCCAGCCCACTAAAAACATTCCTTTTTTTTTGTTATTTTTGGAAAACAAATCCTTAATTATCCCTAATTTTCAGGAACAAACTGATTACCCACTCGTTTCCTCCCTGCAATATTCTTCTTCCGGCTATTCATCGTGCGTCTACTCATCCTGCGCCTCAATCCCCACATTCACTTCGGTTACTGGCGAAATTAATCTCTCAATCGCCACATTCTCTCTCGCCGGATCGATTACCCATCTCTCATGTTTACTTCGTTGCTGAATTCCCTATCCATGTCGGCGCCGTCCGTGTTTCGTGTATTGCTGTGCCTGGATGGTGAATGGACGAGTGATGGCACTTTCACTTCTAAAAGTTTTCAAGAACTCATCATCTCATTCGAGAGTTCCTTTCGAATGCTTATTGACGCCGTTCGTTCGCTGATTGGCCAAATTAATGAGTATACTACTTTAAAGATTTCATACAAGTGCAATTTGTCCCCCCCACCCAGTTTTGATTGATGATGACAAAAGCTTACATTCATACCTCACCATGAAATCGCAATATTTGGATTTGAATGCTATGCCTATGTGTATTGAGCTTTTCCACAATGACCACGCGGATGTAGGTACGTGCTCTTCTTTTCCAAATGACCAATCGTTGTGTATGACTCCTTCAAGTTTCAATTCACTGTCCGATGAGAGCACTGACCTTGCAAGCGCAGAACGTTCTGTGTCATCGTCACACCAGTCCACTAATCACATACTGGATTCACCTTTGATTAACTGTCCTTCAAGTTCACAAAGGGCCAACGGTGGCTACACAACGGACATTGTAGTGCGTGGACCAGATTTGGATAACGACGACATTTCTGCTGTTGAATTGTCTGCAAATGATATTTGCACCAACCTTGATTTCCAAGTTGTAACTCGTTTTGACCCAACTAAAATTGAGTTGGATGCGATTTATGAGAACAAGGGCTACTTGATATACCATCTCAAAATGTTGGCAATCTCTAACCTGTTCCAGTTCCATACTAAGAGGTCGACTAAGAAGCTTCTCCACGTCGTTTGTGTGGAAAACAGGTGCTGTTCTTGGGTTGTTAGGGCAGTTCGATTACCACGCACGGATATGTTCCAAATCCGTAGGTACGTCTTATTATTCCGTTTACAGATGCATCAAAGAAAATCGTATGTTGACTGTTTTTTTCTCAACAATTATATCATTAAGTATATGTAGCAATACACGGTGCATTACACAACACTCCAATACGCACACTGCCTCAACAATTAACATGTCTAAAAAAGAATTTGGACACACTGTCCATATACTGTAATGTTCTATAAAAAATTGAGCTTAATCACAGTTTCTGTCCACAATATAATCTGTTTGTATAACCTGTTATTACACTATAATGCCATATGTATGTGTACTTTAGGTTACTGTCCAAACATTATTCAATTCCAGTGTGCCACGCACACTGTCCACACCAGGTATCACACACACTGTCCATAATCTCCATGTGGTCAATAAATATCATACTTTAAAATGGAGTACACACTGTCCTTCAATTCTCCAGTATTGACATTCCTGCAGATGTTAATGAAAATTCTACTCAATAAACGTTTAACAAACACATCTCTTTCTTCTCATGTGTGTTTTAAAAATTGGATTCAATTAGATTAATGATCCTAAAAAATCAAGTTATACTTAACGTTATGCTGTCCTGTCTCAGGTATGACCATGAACATCAATGCCCAATTGATGCACGCCAGGGTAGAACACGTCAAGCTACGTATGATATCATTGCTGATTTAGTCAAATACAAGTACAGTGATGCTACCAACAAACCATACCCGCCTAAGGCCATTATGACGGACATGTGTAGGGATCACGGCATTTCCATGTCATACAAGAAAGCATGGTCTGCTAAGAAGAGAGCAATGCAGCTTGCATTCGGTAGTGATGCAGAGTCGTATGCCATGCTGCCAGCCATGTGTTACATGCTCGATCGGGCAAATCCAGGTTCGTTGATAGACATCACAAGATCTTCTGAAGGTGTTTTCCAGAATATGTTTTTCTCTCTGTCGGCTTGGAGGGTTGGTTGGGCTCACTGCCTCCCGGTTTTGGTTATCGATGGTACATTCCTGAAATCATATTATAAGGGCACTCTCTTAACTGCTGTTGCTCACGATGGCAACAAACAAATATTTCCTTTGGCATTTGGATTTTGCGATGCTGAGAATGACTCAAATTGGGATTGGTTTTTCTTAAAACTCAAGGAAGCCCTCAATATACGCCCAGTGCAATACATTTTATCTGACCGTCATGGTGGGATCATCAAGGCTGCTAAGGCACATTTCCCCCGTGATTATCATCAACCTGTATTTGCCATCAAAAAGTAAGAGCATGTTAGTAAATCTAATCCACACACATGAAAGATGTAGTCCACACATAAGAACTGTCTAACATATTTTAATGTTCAAAAAAAGTTATCCGGCTATACTGTCCCTATCTATTTTACATTAGCTCCCTGCCTAAGCCGTATCCAATTATGTGTTTGACTCAATGACCCTGACTTGGGGCATACCCTCACACTGTCCATAGCGCATAACTCACACAATGTCCATACCCTTTTGGGGGACTGTTAATACTCTCCAAATTTATAGTAACACAAACACTGCCCTTCATCTGCTATTACATACCCACTGTCCCATGTCAATTAACACACACACACTGTCCACCAGTCACATGGGCCTGGTAATTACTTACAATGGAGGATGTTAGCAGACGCACTGTCCACATGATTCATGGGCACACCCTCACACTTTCCACATGTTTACACACTGACCACATGTTTGCTATGTTTTAGAACAGATTATAGGAACATATTCTCACTCATACAATACTCAAAGGTACATGGTAGTTGAGCATATACTAACCCCCTTCTCTTCACCAAGGTCAGCGATAGGCATATCGGATCCCCCAGGCCCCATGTCTTCACTACTGTGCTTCTCCACATCATTCTCCACCTGGGACATTCAAAAAATGTGTACAAAAAAATTTAATGACATTCTTTTCACATACAAAGATCAACATTATACATATATTTCCATTCACATAGGTTAATGAAATACATATGTAATCAGTGCAACTTACCCTTACAGTCTCTTTTGCATTCAAATCTCCAACACCCCCCAATTTTCACGCACAATATTGCGTACCATGACAGCACGACGTTCCAAAAGAATTTGTGTATCAACAGAATTAATCGTGTCGTCCAAGTCATTAAGTTGGGTAGGGTTTTCTATCTCACAATCAGATCCACCTAAATTTACATTGTCCTCACTACCTTCTTCTTGATCTGCCATTGAATCCTCATTACCCCCATGATCAATGCCTAGGTCAAAGCTAGGACCATCTTCAGCATGTTGTCTGCTCTTTTTACTTCCTTTATTCCTCCTACGTAATAAACCAAACTTCTTCAGGCATTTCGCCACCAGAACTGCATGTCTCCCATGTGCTCTTTGCATTCCCTTCACTTTCCCGCGCAAGCTCACAAGCAATTTGCGGTCCAACACATTTGCTGCCACCAGACCCGCAACCATCTCCTCCAATTTTGTGACCTTTTCCAACAACTGTTCATTAACCCCTGAACTTGCCTTGTCATCACCTTTATTGCCACTTTTCCTCTTTTTCCCTTCTTTGGCTTGACTTGGGTTCCTTACGTTGGGTTTACGCTTCTTACCAACATGCTTAGTACTTCGGGCTTCGCCTCCATTATCACTAGCAACTCCCCAATGAAATGTAATATTTCCTTCCGCTAGGACCCCCCCTCTTCTTGTCCACAATGCTCATTACTGGACGGGCCTCCAAGACTCCTGGCATTTGCTCCTTGATCACACACTTGCACTACCTTAAGGCTTTCATCTCCTTCAATCGTTGGGGTATTTAAAAAGAGACACTTAACATTCTCTTTCCCAATCTCCAAGGCAGTTGCCTTCATGCCAATCCATTCAAACTGTATAAAAAACACAAAAAATGATTACTGTCCAAGTACTATTCAAGAATAATTTTAAAACCCAAAAAAAAGGAGTCAAACAATGAAAAAACAAGCACATACATTATCATGACTGAAGATCACTTCCTCCAACACTATGTGATTTGTCAGTGTTGGTGCTGCCCATAGTAAAGCACGCGGCCATTGGTGTCTCCGACTCTCTATCATCTCACACACTTCCCTTTTCACCAGCCCTGGGAATGTCTCAAATGCCCAAATCTGCAAGGCCATTAAAAATCTCGGGAATGTGAATCGGTCCTTTTTACTAGTTCTCAAACTCAAAGAACATTTTGCCATGTCCTCAACCAAAAGGTCCCAGATCTCATCACCCCAGGGATACGCGTTCAAACGGGACAAGTCATCTACCAAATGCAAATAAAGTGGTGGCAATTTCATGGAGGGTTGGTTTCCAACTATGTGGCTACCCAGAAGGTAAAGAACTCCTATCTTCACGCCATCCATCTCTCTTTTTCTCTTGTTGTCCCGTAGACCCTCTAAGACCAACCGCACTTCATCACGAGTCACAACACTTCTACCCCCAAAATATCTCTTACTGATGTCTGAAGTGCCAGTGTATTCCTTTTCTTGTTCAGTTGGACATCCAAATTTGAAACCCGTAATTAGAGCAAAATCAGTCTTCTTAAAACTAACCACCCTATCACGGATGTGGAAAGATATTGCATCGCTATCTGGCTCCATAGGTTCAACGTAGTTCAACGCTAAAAGTATTAGGAGCTGTCCATTAACCCATTTAAGATTGCCAACATCAACCAAATGACCGAAGGGCGTCTTGACCAAATCCTCGAACTCGGATTCTGACAATGTTCGCCGTAGCTTCTCGACCCCACTCAACACATTACAATAACAATTAGCTTTGACATTTGTCTTGGAAGCCAAGATGTCTTCTCTGCACAACCTTCGGTATTCCTAAAAGAAAAAATCTCCCATGTCAAAACACACTAAAAAACAGACATAATCTTCTACGAACACACAAAACACAATTCACCAAAGTTAATGCATTAGAGCAGTTATCACATTCTTTAATACACTGCACATTCAACTAACACTGCCTCCCAAATCCCCAAAACACTGCCCTGCTGAAAGCATCTTTAAAATAACTAAACACTGACAATATATTCAACACAGTGCACTGGTTTACTCAGGTCATTAAAACCCTTGTTGTTATTGCAATCAACATGGAGATAGCATTTTACAGTGACATAGAACAAACACTATACGGACCAGAACAAAAGAAACTCATTTTCACACTACAATTGCCCTAAGAATCAATGCACATACCTGGTAGTCTATTGTTTTTTAACCCCTTCAAAACCCCATTACGATCCTTTGCTTTTAATACCATGCACATAAAAACACCACTGTCCTCCAAAACCAAGAACACTGGACTGTTTTTAAACTCTGACACCAAATTACCTACTGACCATTACATACTAACCATTACATAATACACTAAACAATAACAAAACAGTATACTCACCCTATGGAAACACTACACTACCTTTCTCCTGAAATTGATTTTAATTCCGCCAAAAACACTCAATCAGGTTTAATCTTTAATAAGATGCACATTCAAAGAACAACACCATCATAATCCCATAATCCTCTACACTGTCTACTACCTATCATTCAGAAAAAAAACCCAAAAACATGCAACACACTACACCACTATAATACATTATTTTCCTTCTTAAAAACTATCAAAAACTTCACCTTTATGAATAATGTCCAAACAATGTCATAGACAGAATAATCTAACCTTCCCAGAAACGCATTTCACAGTAATTTCACTGCCCTCTTCGCCAACAATCTCGTCGTTGTCGTCAATAGCGCCTCCAGTCGTCATCGCCGTCTTCCTTGCCGACATCACAATCGTCGACTCACTATCACTTCTCACTGTCTTCGTCGCCGCAACCTCTCTTGCTTTTTTGACTCTGTTTCTCAATTCTCCCCGTCTGCGTTTTCTCAATTTAGGGTTTAAAAACGCAGACATCCGCATCCTATTTCATCCCAAAATTAAAGGCAGATTACCTTCTACAAGAAGAGACCTTCGAAGGAAATGCCGTGATTTTAGGGATCCGAATGACTGCTGCGCCGTTGTTTAGATCTTCCAAAAAAACGGAAGGTCATTTTAGTCTATTCCATACCCCTGCCCCATTAAAACATTTGACTTCCTAACACTAGTGCTATAAAAAGGAAGGGGCATTGTTTTAGTGTTATACAAGTAATTTCCCCAATATAAAATTCATTTTATTTAATTATTGTACATAACCTTTCGCATACAAGTTCATTCTTGACAAATAATATGCTGTTGGAAATCTCTCGTCGAGATCTACCCAATGACACCAATGTTGAATATAAAATTTTTAAATTTTTTCTTCTCACATTTCAAAGCTAAGCAAGAAAAGTACACTTATACATACTTTTTTCTTATATAATTTTTAGACTGTTTTTTTTGGATGTTACACACTCTCTTAATGCTACTCCTTTCGTCTAAAATGCATCTAATTTAGGAAATGATTTTAAATATCCACTTTTCCAGATTTATCTCGACAAGATGCACTCTGATGTGATGCGCATGCACTGTGATGACAGATAAATGCATTGTGATTTGTTCTACAGATTTTATTTAAATTTCATTCTAGTAATTTATGGATTACCCATGAATGACTCCTGCATGACTTTATATGCGATGAGAAAGTCAGAGAATGCATTATATTCCAAATAAGTGTAATCTAAGTTTTGAGAAATAGTTTGCCTATGCAGGATTCGAACCCACATCTGTAGTACATACTGCTATACCATTTGAGCTAATAGGCAAGGATTTGTTTTTTCAAAGAGACTCCCATCACTTGGACCTATTATATACATACTTTAATATATTAAAATTTGCATCATTCAACGTGTTTCCAACCCCATTCAAATGTATCATAGAATATGTTAAATGCATCGTTGTTTGCATAAAATTTTCGATTTAGAATATACAAATGCATCATCTTTGGTTAGTATGATTTCATCAAAATAGATGCATTTTACTTTGATTCTAAAAACGCACAATAATAGGGAATACATTATCCTTTTATTTTGAGAATGCATTGTCTTCGCATCTAATTGCACTACCTTAATAGTGATAATGCACAATAACATAAACTATTAGCATTAAAATTTTGTAAAAGACAAAATGGCACACAAGAGAGTTTTCACAAATAGTTATAGTGCACCAGGAAACATGCAAAACAGAAGTAGTTGATTGCACAGAAAATGTAAAATTATAAATTGTTTACGCAAAACCATGTCGGAGCGAGCACAAAGATAAGAGGCCCTCAACCTTTCCGCCGTTATCAGTTGATCAAATCAATTGCTACCGCTTTGGGGATTTTCAGTGTAGTTATGCCGTAGAAAAATTGAAGCACAATGAAGAAATTGAAAAAGGTGCTATTGAAAATTGGATGGAACTTTTTTTCTTTGAAATTGAAGCACCATGGAGAAATTGGAAAAGGGGCCATCATTTTTTGTTTTGGCTCAATTAATTGGCTCAGATTTGGTCACAACACCATGGCGGAGGTCAGGCTCTGATATATACTAATATACCACATGATGTAAATTGAGAAAGACACATGAAAAACTAAAATAATTATTCTTTCAATATCCAAAAGAGTAGTTCTGTATACTAACACCACTCTTACTTACTCATAATTTTGATTCAACTTGAGAAGCAAGAAGCCATAATATAGATGCATCAGAGTAGTTGGGTGTGCATAATCCACATATATTGCAAGTATTTTCTAAAGGCCTTAATGAAACGGAATAAATATACACAATACCTGATTTACATATTAGACTCGGTTTTACAAAATATGAAATACTAATTTCATATAATGTACTAAGTATTTCGTATAATGCATAGTGTGAGGATTAATATATCTATGTAAATAATCATCTTGGTTATATTCCTCAAGAAAAAAAGCCACACAAGAATTATGTGTAAAGATATTTTTCTTGCACCATTGCATTTTTATGCATACAAAATGATATTTATCTTTAAGTTCCTTTATAAGCATAAAAATAATTAAACTTCTACCCAACCAAAGTGATATTGTGTAAAAATAAAAAGTGTAGTCTTTGCATATTCAAATGCACTACTATATAAATAGAATGCAGTAACGTGCACAAAATATAAAATATAAAATGAAAAAAATTTGGACATCACCGATATTAAAAAGCTAGAAGAAGAATGCACAAAATGAAATCAAAATGCTAGAACAAAAAATAAAATATGAAATTGACCCAAAATAGAATGTTGGAAGTAGATTACACCAAATAAATCTTTGGGACATTTTATCAAACATGTGGCATGCAAACATAAACTCTAATGATTCAACACTAATTTACACAAGAAATTGATTTAAATTATTTAAAAGAACGAGAAAAAAGAAAATAAAACCCAATTGTATTGGATGGAAGCAAAATCCAGCCACTACCTTACCTTTCAATGATTTGTTTTAGCATTAACCGTCAATCGGATGCCAAGCTCACAACGCCGATTCACGCCATGTTGAAAGAAAGAATTCAAATCAGAGAATTCATGAAATTGAGCCACCAAAAAATTAAAATCCTAAGATGGAAGAAATTAATTGTTAATTATGGCAAAGATTGAAGAATATCAAAGAGAGAAGAAGAGTTACTAGTGATAGAGGAAGAAGGTAATTGACTGAGTGAGAGGATTTTACGGAAAGAGAGGAGAGAGAATAAATTGAGATGAGATTGAGTTGTGTAAAGCCGAAAAAGCCCATGAGGACTTGGCGCAGTAGGATCAGATCTAACGGTGGGAACTCATTCTTATTTCTTTCATAAGATCTCATTCTCACCGGAACCAAACCATATATATATATATAGGGGCAGGTTCCTGTGAGAATGCACCTTGTGGAGAGAAATGAGAATGAAATCTAGCCGTTGAATCTGATGCATCGTGCGGCTCAGATTGCATCCTGCGCTCAGATTTTGAGATATTGCATTTTGAAAGGATTATGATGCATTTCGACGTGATGCATTTTTAAATCATTTTGTTGCATCTAATTTTGATGCAATCCTGACCCTTAGATCGCACAATCTAAAGCACCAGATTCATTCTCATTTCTCTCCTAAGATCGCATTCTCACCAGAACCAAAATCTATATATATATATATGTGTGTGTGTGTGTGTGTGTGTGTGTGTGTCTGTGTGTGTGTGTGTGTGTGTATCTAATGAACCTTGTAGAGAGAAAATGAAAATTGTGCATTTTTATTCGCCAATGGTGCATTTTTCTACGCAGGTAGTGCATTTTTATATATATTGGGAAATGTGTGTGTCTGTGTGTAATGAACCTTGTAGAGAGGAAATGAGAATTGCGCATTTTTATTCGCCAATGGTGCATTTTTCTACGCAGGTAGTGCATTTTTATATATATTGGGAAAAGCTAGAGGTTCACCAAAATAAAGTACTCCATTTGTGCACCAGGCAAGCACAGACATTAAGTGCGTGTGATCAAATACATTTAGTATCTGTGTTTGCCTTGTCTAAAAATGAGGTACCCCAATTTGGTGTACCCTAGCATGACCCATATGTATTTCGCATAAACATTCACTGGCATTTAGACACATTGTTGTACACCAAACATGGCCCACTCCACAGACTGTAAATCAACATCGTAATTTTGGAATGGAATCATGAAAAGGCTAGTGCAAAAGATATGATGCAAGGGACAGCATACATGCAAAGACTTGATACAAAACAGAAATATGAAAAGATGACAAGGGCTTCTTCAATTTATTCCAAACTACTGTTAAGGAAAAATGATATGCAGGGAAGCAGAAATGTGAAGTGATATGTATTACAGATCCTAGCTATGATATTCACAATCAATCTACATACACAACACGCTATAGAACCGGAAAAGACCATATATTATCACTCATATCGTACAACACTGAGCAGGCTGTTGGCATGGTTTTCTTGTGCGTCTAACATGCACGCATTAGATTGTGGCATCTCTTCATGGTAAGCTACTCTGAAGCACATGTGCATCTTCGCGTGTTGTTTTCTTGTCATTTTTTGTGGGAGAACTCAATGTCACCTCACTTCTTCCCCTTGAGTGTCTATAGCCATGAGATTGTCGATTCTGCAAAATTTAAAGCACAAAAATATTATACAGAGTAATCATTATCATCATCATATATCAAGATGTTCGGGCATGAGGAATTACCGTGTTTGGGAAGTATGTTCCAGTTCCCCGTTGCTTTGGCATCTCTTCGAAGCCAAGTACCAAACCGGGTACTAATAGTGGCTGGTTCATGGTATAGAACGCATGACTCGGGATGAAACCATCATAACCTACCTGAGGAAAACCACTTTTGGTAGATTGTGATGGCTGCCAAACTGCATCCGGTAAATACTTTATCTGAAACCGTGAGGGTGTTAACGGGCGTGCATGTGATCCTGACTGTTGTTCATTGCACCACTGACCATACTGCAAACAGCTAAAGTAATATTCGAAGTCCCCGCTAAGATCAGACAAACCACTATTCAGAAGCTTCAGGCTTTCAAGACCGGGAATGTTTGTGTTAGTGGTCAAAACCTCATGTTTATCATTCAAAACATCTTTCTTTGAATCTCTCCCATCTTGACTCTCTGATGGCTTTGTCTCTGAAATTTGATCTTTCTTCAAACTATTGCAGGCAGCCTTGGTAAAGAAGAGATGAGGGGCAAAAAAGGGTTTACACATTGCAGGTGCATTACTTTCAATACATGAACTAGCAGAACTGGTTAAATCATCATCACTACTTCCAGTGGATTCAGCAAGGGAACCGGATTTCATTCTAGAAGTGAGCGCCTCTTGTTCAGATGAATCTTTCGGTGACACAGGAAGTGTTGAAGTGAAACTATTGACAGCTGTTGGTGGGCTATGATCTTCAGCGTCAAGAGTTTGTGAAGTTCCATGATGACCCAGAGTGTTTGAGAAGAAACTATTAAGCTCACTGACAATGTTATCCTCTGACTGAAGAAGAATTCTGCCAAGCTTCCTTGCCCCATATGTGAAAGCACTCCGTATTCGGTAGAAATTTCCTGCACACAGTTTCCATTGTAGAAGACATTTAAGATGGGAGCTCGAGATTTGACAATTGATGCAATTAAAGATTTAAAAATGCATTAACTTTTAAAATAATTCCTTGAAACATTTACATGCTTGTACAAAAACCATTCCACATGAAATAAAATATGAAAGTACCTTTACTGACACTACGGCCAAGATTGTTATTTTCTTTTAGAGGATCGACAATATTGAGATGCTTTTGCTGAAAAGCTCGGGAGTTCATTTCGCCAACTTTTGAAGGGACTGAAAACTTGCGGACACAGTCTCTAATAAAATCATTACTCAGAAGAAAATCACCACCGTCATTTTGTGGCGTCTCAACTGCAAAAAAGAGACAAAAATCCAATAAAATTATCAAGATGAAACAAAGGGAAGAAAATAGAACACACTGCCATGAGATGTTACTTACCCACAATTTCAGGTAGAGATGATAGACGGACAGGGCCAGTCAAAGTAATGCAATAGTTGTCCCAGTCAAACTTACTGAAATAATCCAAAAATTTGTATAGGACCTGAAATTGCGAAAATCCAAATCATTAGATCACAAAATGTGAATGACATATGACAGATAAAACACATATATCCAAGAGGACTCACCGCTAAAGGACCATCTAGAGCAGAGTGAAACAGGTGAAAGATGTATAAAATAAGTGTCTCCAAAGCATAAGTAGAAATCAGACCATGATGAGCACCAAGGATACGGCTTTCATAAAAGCACCAGGCTTTTATCAATAGAATACTGCGCTTAAATAAATGATCTTTGCCAATCAGGTGATCTACCTGCACAAAAATCAGCTTCAAACTTGGCATGCACTATGATCATCAAACCAAACA